GTTCGAAGTGTGATCGATATTGAAATTCGATATTTAAATATGAAACCACTTGAATCGTACATGTAATATTCAGGATTAACAAAAGTAGGCGAAATTAATTTGCAAGGTTAGCAAAAGACACGATGCAGTGAATATTATCCAAACTAAATCCACAGTAAATCCTCTCGATCTTACTAAATGTCAGTAATTTGTTATCCTAGAACCCAAAATTGAGTTTCATTCCTTCTTTTCTTATTTCCTTCGAAATCTCAACTAAGTGTCGAATAAAAATTCCGCCACATCGTCACCCAATCTCGATTCATGAATCCTTTATCGTCGAAATGAAATGATCTCGGTTGCAAATATCAGTAATTTATTATCCCACAACCCCAAAATTCAGTTCTTTTCTCATTCTCTTCAAAATCTTATCGAACGAAAATTCCATCGCGTCGTCACCGATTTGTTAATTTCAATTTGTCAACCCCTTGCGCTGGGCAACTGGTTCGCGGACCATAACGAGCGACCGAACCATATACAATAATTCGTCGCTTTCTTCTTCTTTTAAACTCGTCGGTATGACATCACTGGATAGAAATTATCAAGAAGTAATCAACTTATCATTTTGCTTTGTCTGAGTTACATTTAAATATACTCAAAGGTGAGAAAATTTTGCCAATTTCGGACAAATGATTCTCGACGTGCGTGGCAAGATGTTAATCCTCCGCCATTGAAACTAACAGACTACAGTCACAAATATCGCAATGGTAATTAACTTGTCCTGCGCGTCTTCAAAAATTTTCTTCGAAATCTCAACTGAAAAAGTCGCGAATTTCGAATAAAAAAATCTTTCCACCTCCAAATGGAAACTCGTGCTCCAAGTGCGTTTTTTCGCCCTGTTAGAGCCTAAAATCAGAAAGAAACGAGATCTGATTGTGAGAAAGAAAGCTCTTTCTCTCTCTCTCTCTCTCTCTCGTGGCTACTCACGGAGGGAGATCCCGGAGCGAGATAAGCGACGCGCCTGCTTTCCAATTCGCAACGGATGATCGCGCGGCAGAAGTGCGTGAGAGGTAACGTGGGCGGGTGGAACTTATTGCGGTGGGTGGGCCACGCAGCGAGCGTGCGACGAGAACCCGTTTTCTCCACCGTCTTCGCGTTCACTCTGGTTCCGTGGAACCGACAAAGAGGAACCCGGGACGGGGAACGAATTCGACGAACGAGGATTAACGTCTGGGAACCGATTCGTTGGAGAAGGAGAGAAGCGTGAGAAGAAAGGGAAGCGAGCGAGAAAAGGAGAAACGATGTAGATATGTGGAACGAATAAAGAATGGACAAAGGTGGAAGATACTCGGAGCGAGCGAGAGAGTGAGAGAAAGATGAAGGTACGTGTGTGGGAAGTCGGAGCGGATGAAGATGAAAAAAAAAAAAACGCTAAGGAACAGACGAAGATGGAAGAAGGAAGGAACAAACAAAGATGAAAGATATATTCGGAACAGGAGAATGAAACAGAAGATATTTGAAGCGAGAGGATTAGAAAATAATAGAGAAAGAGAGAGAGAGAGCAGGAATGTACGTGGAAGCGTCGACGAGTGGACAGAGACAGAAAATGTTCGAGAGGGCAGAACAGACAAAGAACAGAGAACGCTCGGGGCGAGAAAACAGGAGGAGGACAAATATATACACACAGAAACATTAGAAAGCGAGAAGAGACAGAAGATATTCGGAGCAGGGGTGCGAGAAAAGGTGAGGGCTACGTAGAGGCATTGAGCAACAGACGAAGATGAAAGGTATAAGGAGCGGGAGAGAGGTTAGAGTAGCAAAAAAAACCTACGTGACGTGAGTTAAGAACGACAGAGATAGGGGGGAACAGTGTTGTTCCGTGGAACATAGAGAAGGACACAAGTAAACTGAGGAGACGAACGGAGACAAAGATAGAAGGAACGATACATGATACTGTGAGAGAACGAGGAGAGTGGAGAAAAAAAGACTGTGCAGGCAAGTCTGTCAGAGTGGGAACGACGTGTACGTTGAAGAAGGAGAGACGATCAGACGAGGACACCATCGTGGATAGCGCGTTAGAGTGAGAAAGAGGGAGAACGAACTGACTGAATTGTTGAATGAAAGAGAGAACGTGAATTAGAGAAGGGAAGAAATCGTTCCAGCGTGTAAGAAAGAGAAAGAAAGTGTGGAATGATGAAAAGGAAGGTACTATGGAACGTATGTATGTATTGTGGCAGGTGACAGAGAATGGAACATTGAGTGGAACGTGACTATTAAGACACAAGAATGGAGATATTATGCACGTTGGCTGTCGTTGTTTCATTAAAGGAATAAGTTGCATGCTTGAATGAAATATAAATCTCATGTTGCTAGAATTGTCTTTTTAGCTTCAAAACTAGACGGATGTTCGAAGTTTTTCAAATACTTGATATATATATATAATATCTCAACAATCAAGTTCGTCATAATACTTAAAACTCGCATTTTAAGACTTAGATTAATTACAAAGCAACATTGAAATTATAATAATAGAAGATAAATGAAAATGATCCACACGAAACTGCGGGAGGATTGATAAAAATTTGAAAAATTTCTGAATACTTAACTTAACACTTAATTTGACAAAATGAATTAATTACAAGCATTAATTACAAAATTCTTCAATTTCACGCGATCGTAATTCTTTTATTTCGAAGGAACATCTTCTATGTTACTACAGACTTAAACAGGCTTGGTACCTGTTTGCAAATGTACTTAGCTTTATCAAAGTAATTGCGCGAACACGTGTCAATTAAGAAAATGAGCCAGATAATTTTCGCAGGATTTTATTTATACCGGTGGTGAGATGCCAGTGTGCGGAAATTGGTCCGAGATAATGGCGCCGCGAAGAACCAATTTCAGCCACCTTAATGGCAACCGTGTCCCATGGCCATTAACTTAATTAACAATGATCGCGATTCGCGTTCGTTTGGCGAATTTGTAAATCAGTTTTTTCTTTTTTTTTTTCGTAACTTGTAGCATGTCGTTAGGCTAATTGTCCAACAACTTAGTCTATCGCCGCAAATTAATAGGGAGGTTAATCTTCATTTAGCCTGGGGACGTAGCCGTGTATCGTTTTATTCGATGAATTATGGCTTGTAATTATGGTAGAGTTACGCCGGAGGGGACACTTTTAACTGTGTGAAGTGACGTTTCAGGTTGCGACGCAATTTGAAATCGTGATGATTGTTGAACTGTGTATTGAAAGGAAACGTATTCGAATTAACGTAATTAATTTCACTTCAATTTTTTCAGCGAAATCGGTCGATTCGGTTTGTATTATTTTTCATAACGATATCACTAACTAGTTAGAAACAATTTTTAAAACATTCGTAAAATCATTTCGATAAAAATAATACGTGTTATAACGGAATATGATTTATTTCTATTATTCAAATTGGAAATCGACTCGTCGATTTGATTCGTGGAAATCAGTTTTCTCTAGTGTCGTTGTAAACATAAATACGCGAGTATTAAAACGATATAAGTAAGTTTCCATCGCGTACCGTGTTGGCGAGAGTATCGCGCGTTTCCGCGCCGACGATGCCCGTGTTTTCGCGAGTCGACGCGAAATTTTTAACGATGTTTACTCGTCTAGATTTCCTGGAATTTCCTCCCTCTGGCTAACGAACTTTCGTCCTGGGGAAACTCGCGTCGCGACGCCGTGCTTTTCAATCCGCTTAACGCGGTTTCATTTATGCAAAAGTGACGGCGCGCACGTGCTGCGAAGATTGTTCGGGGTTAAAATCCGATCTGTTTAGCGACCGTGGTTCCAACAGCCGCTGCAAATTGCCGCGTAAACGCATCAGTGAACGATCTCGTTAATTTCGAGAAGCGTTTCTCCAAAGTGTGCTTGCTTTTTGTCAGCGTTTCGCGCGAAACGTGGCAACGGAAAGCATCGAACGAGGCGATTCCTTTTCGTTAGAACCGGTGGTGCGTTTTATCTTCGTCGTAGCTATAAAAATCTCTGTTTGAAAGCTTCTGATCATTTTTATTATGAAAGTTTAATCTGATCTCACTTGTAACCGATCGAGTAATTTCTATATGCATCACAAGTTTACAAGTGTTCATACAGCTGTGATAAACGTTCATCTTTTATCTTGTATATCACACAATATATAAAGAACAATTCTAAACCTTCTATTTCAAATTCTCCTTTCTTTCTTTCTTTTAATCATGTTCATGCAGATATCTACAATCTAGTAATAATATCAATTATAAATCTCAATAATGTAGTTTCATGTTGCAACGATCCTCAGTGATTCAATAATACCAGAGTAATAATAATACGATAATTCGATAATAGTAGGAGTTAAAAAATATTCGTCGAAACAGTGAAGTACTGAAAGAATCTATACTAATATACGTATCAATTACTTTATATATACTAATCTTTATATACTAATATACACTATATATATATTAAATATACTAATAAGTTAGTATATTTATATATTATAGCGATGATGGTTACTTTATTATTAAGTATATTTATTTTTAAGTTAGTATATATATATATATATATATATATATATACTAATAAGTTAGTATATTTAATTAGTAAGCAAAAGAGAGAAATTCGTCTCTTATGAAGCTCTAAAAGCTAATTAAACAAATAAAAATGTCACAAATGTTGAAAGTCGAAAGTACTCCTTAACTTTCGTAAACAGTTGAAGCAGTCAAATCCCAAAATTCATCCCTTGCGAGCTTGCTCACCCTTAAAAAAGAAAGGAAGCAGAACAACAACCCTTCGCCACATCGCCGCCTGAGCCGTATTGCTATAATTTGCTCGTATAAATGACTTAAACTATTTGCGAGCTTTAGTCGTAATTGACGGAGGAATGATCACGCGTTCGTTGACGAAGCGTTCACCCCCGGAATCGAATTACGAGTTTACATAGCTTGCTCTTTCGTTCATAGCGGCACTAGCTCTCTCTCTCTCTCTCTCTCTCTCTCTCTCTCTCTTTCTCTCTCTTTGTTGACAGAGATCTGATGTAACGCTGTTGAGCGATCTGGTGGGCCGTGCACAGGGGCAGAATGAGGGGTGGTAGTAGCGACGTCCCTGCCATGGTCACCGTGCCTGCATCCGCGTCACTCAACGTAAGTACAACAACCCCCTGATGCCAATAAAAAATAAATTACGCGCAGAGAAACATTCGGAAGAATTTATCTGACATTCTGACGAAACCTTGACATCAAATTATTTATGTATTAATTTATTAATTAAATGATTAACTTAGTTAAGTATTTAAGTAAATTTAATTAATATAAGTTTTTTAAGTATATTTTAAGTATATTGATTAATATCGTGTATTTTAAGTATACTAATTAATATACTTTGGTAAATATATTAAATATATTTAAATATAATTAATATACTTTATGTATTTTAAATATATTTAAATATAATTAATATACTTTTAAGTATATTTACTTTGATATTTCAAGTGTATTAATTAATATACTTTGATATTTTAAGTATATTAATTAATATACTTTTTCAAGTGTTTAATTTAATTTTTAATATACTTATATACTTTATTTTTAATATATTTTAATATACTTATTCAAGTGTTTATTTAATTAATACATATAGTGTAGATTAGTATAGATAAGTAATTAATATGTATATAATGTATATTAGTGTAGATAAATTAACTTATTAATTGAATAATTCTTAGATAGGATAGAACGAAAGCAAATATACAAGTGAAATTAATAGATAAATCGCACGTTCTCATGGTAGAATGACGATAACAGATAAAGACATTAAATCGAACCATTACACTCAAGATCGTGTTCTAATAGAAGTTGAGAAGGCAGAGTTCGTTTATATTCGAAGTTCATAATAGATTGACGTGAAAATTCAAAGAGGACGTGACGTATCGACAAGGTATTATCCTTGTAACTTGGGTCTAACATAAGCGAAGGGAATCTTCTGGGAATTTCACGAAAGATACGAAAGTTTTGAAATTCTCGTCGGGCAGCTACTTTATATTTAGCGGAGAATATAAAGTACATGATCTTCGCTGTTACTATAAAAATTGTGTGTTTTGTCGATATTCCATTTCACGTTGCACGAACGATACGTATATATACGCTTTCAATCGTATATATGAATTTGTCGCAAACTGAAAAATTCAGTGAAATAACGTAATGTTCGTTTGTTTGTTTAAATGCGAATGAACTGGATCAAGCTAGTAGCAAAGTACGAATATAATTTCGATTTAAACTTGAGAATCGCAGGCAATTCGAGTTTTGTTTAAACACACTTCGGATGAAAGGAACTGTGTTAAACAAATTCATAGGATTTTTGAAATTCTCTCGAAATGTAAATGCAGGTGTGCACGAATATATATGCACTTTTAAAATCGAATTCACAGGAGGAACGAGTGTCAAGCATCGTAAAACAATTATTCGCTCAAATTGCAATTGTTATTTGAATTAAAAGAAAAGCAAACAAAAAAAAAAAGAAAAGAAAAGAAAGGAGAGAAATCGTAAGAAATCGTACAATCTCTGTCGAATGTCGTTTTTGAACGAATTTCTGCGACTCGTTCGAACATAAAATACGGCAATTTATTAACCTTTTGCTCTGGCAACTGATTGTGGACCATAACGTATACAAATAATTCGTTGCTTTCTTTTTTTCATTCATCGGTATGTCACTGCGTAGAAATTACCAAGAAGCAATAAATTTATCATTTGTTTCACCTTATGTTTATATATTTGTATAATATTGTTTCAATATACTTAGATATAAAAATATGATATATAACAAACATAAAAATATTTATATTTCAATTATATTTCAATATACTTAAAAACTGAGAAAATGCTGCAATTTTTGGCCAAATGTCCTCGACGTGGCACAAAGATTCATTTCAGCGCAAGAGGTTAAACTAAAATATAAAATGAATTACGAGGATGGTATACGCCGCGTCAACGAAACCTTCAACTCCTTCGACGAGTCTAATCCCCAACGAGGAATAATCACGCGAACGTTTTCACGCGGGGATGCAACGTAATCCTCTGAAAAGTCGAAGGAGAATGAAAGAAAAGGACGAAGAAGCAGGCTCCTTCCGTTCGGATCCCTCGTTACGTAGCTATCCGCGATCGGATCGATCGTCGGCTTGATCGTGAGACGATCGATAGCGAACGTACGCGACGTGCACGACTGTATGTGGCACCGTGGATATATACTTGCAGCACCGGTTTTCGCGTTGGCCAACGCGTTGACGATAAACTCACCCGCCGGTATAATTGGCTTGCGAAATCAAACTCGGGAAACGGGACCACGCGACACTTTGAAAAATCCTCGCGGGGATTTGGCCGCCTCGAGACATCCAGATACAGTCGGCCGCGAAAGCGTGCGTTGCGTGTGTATAAATACAGTGGCTCGAGAAAGTTTTCTCGCAGGGAAATTTTGCTATTTGGAAACAGACGCGCATTGACAAAATCTGTTTCTTTTGTTGAGACAACAGTGCACGGTAATTTTCAATAGTCGATGATAATATGGGTAATGTAGAAATTCGAGGATCAAAAAGATATATATATATATATACAGGGTGTTTTGTAATTTGTGGGGAGCTGATTGTACGCCTAAAAATAATGAGAAAGAGTCATATAAATGTATGTCCTATCTGTCTTCGTTTATGAGATATAAATACAGAGCAAACTCTAGTAAGCTAGTTTTACCAGGGATGGTACATTCAATTTTCATAATAATCATGATTGGAATGAAGAAAACTCACGTGTTGTTGTGCATTCAAGACATCAACACCAGTTTAGTTTAAACGTATGGGCAGGAATAATTGATAAATTTTTAATTGGGCCTTTTTTTCTTGATGGGAAACTAACAGGCACAAAGTACGTTGATTTTTTTGAGCACGCGTTTACACGAAATATTAGAGGAAGTTCCAGTCGATATTAGACTTCGTATGAGGTTTATGCATGATGGAGCTTCGCCGCATTTTAGCCGAGTGGCTAGGCAATTTTTCAATCAACACTTTGCAAATAAATGGANTTGGTCGTGGAGGTCCTATTGCATGGTCTGCTCGTTCCCTGGATTTGAATCCATTAGATTTTCATTTCTGGGGACATTTAAAATCTATTGTATACGCAACATCGATTGAACATGCTGAACTACTACGAAATAGAACAGAGCAAGGCTTCCGACAAATTCGAGAAACACCAGGAATGATAGAGAGAGTAACCAGATGAATGACAAGACGCGTGCAGGCTTGTCTTCAAATGCAAAATGGTCATTTCGAGCATCTTTTGTAAAAGTAATTAAAACAGAAAATTCATTATATCTCACAAACGAAGACAGATAGGACATACATTTATATGATTTTTTTTCATTATTTTTAGGCGTACAATCAGCTCCCGAAAAGTGGGTCCCACAAGTTACGAAACATTTCCATAGTAATAATTAATGAGCTAACAAATTTTAAATTTTCTATTGTTTATGAGTTTAATAAAGCTTGATCGAACGTTGATTTTAATTCTGAAGAGATAACGGTCGCTATAACATGCTGATCGTCTGTTTCTACTAAATTTCATTTCTAATAAAAATTCATTAGAAGCGCAGGGATCAGATCACACGCGATGAGCTCGCAAACGCTCGGGCCTCCATTTCTTTTCGGGTTGAGCAGACCGCCCCGTGTCGGAAGCTAAGGGTAGTCCCACCCCTGGCTCGCAACCAAGTTCGTGCCCCATGAATTTATCACGCCGCTCCCGATATAGATATAGGCCAGCCACCGATTAGCCAGGCCGCTTTATAAAGCGAGGAATTAGCATTCCCTCTCTAGGGAGAAGCCGGAACCGGATCGTGATGCGTCTGGCATTTAGGAACGGAAGCGCCCGCGATCCGAATTAAATTATTACAGCCTTCAGCGTGATCGATAGAGAACGTTCGCTTCGTTCTCGCTCCGCCGCGAGGAATCAATTAAAAACTAATTTTAATCTCTCCGCCGATTGAAATTCTCTTCTTGCCTTACTTGGCTCGTGAGCGGAGAAAATTTCCTTCGTTTGCGCGATTTAGAATTTATACGAACGAAACGAATTCGTGTACGATTTCATTGTTATTCTGCGTCTGCCGGTTTTAAACGGGAAGAACTTTGTTGCATTGGAATCATGTGCTCATTTGAAGAATTTCAGATACGTTGATGGAGTACATAATACACAAGTCCAATGGTATCTGTGTACTAGTTTGGTAAGAGTAATTTGGCAACTGGTAAGAATTTGGTGGTATTAAAGTTGCGTACTTGTTTGAAGAATTTTTGACAAAAGAAAGATAATTCAAATTGCAGAAATGTAGAAGTATCTATCTGATTTTAATTGGATAGAATTTCATAGTGCTGAAATATACACTTGTTAAAAAGAAATATAATTCAAATCACAAACAAATCCAAAAATATTAACAATTCTTTTATTTTATATCGGATAATGTTATTTTCTAACTACGTTGTGTGTTGTTTCTTTCGAACACGCTTTAATAATATATAAATATAATATTCCTCCGTACAAGTACAGCCTTTTTTTCATTCATTTCAATCGAAACGAAATTTTTATTCCACGAAGAATGAAAGGCAACGTCGAAGACGGAATGAAATTCTATTACAAAGCGCATAACAATTCCTCATCGAATTAAATTCCCAATTCCCGATGTTACAAGGCAAATATCGCACCAATTACCACGCTAATTAACACCGCGCCGATCTCGTTCACCGACGCGGCGTTCTCATAATTAAAATCTCGAACGACGAGAAAGCGTACCGCGGTGGAAAACAAAACGACGTAGAGAAACAACAGACTCGCCAAAAGATACGTAGGTATTTTCGTATCCGACAAGGTTTCTTCGCCGAGTAACTTCCACGGAAATTGAATTCTCCCGGATGCTGGTCGACGTATGTATGTACGTACGTCGAATGAAAATTCCATTTCAAAGTAAGTCGCCTCTCACGAAAATCGTCTCTGTGACTTCTAATTTGCTCGGTCATCGATTTACTTTCGCTTTTGTTCTACAATTTCTGCTTTTCTCTTTCTGATTCTGCCAGAAAAATGAAAGTGAATTTCAAACGAAACGGTTTCTACGATAAAACCAAGTTCTTAATGGAATTTGTCGAAACATCGCTCAATTTCGACTTTGTTTCATCAGTGTTAATTCTTAAAATGTTTCGACTCTATAAACTATATTTTTCAGTCTGTCTATAAAAATATTTTTCAGCTTTATTACGTAATTACTAGGGTTTATAATTTACTTGAGAACGGTAGGTATCAATCAAATTTCGATTTATGGTTGGCAACGTGAAACAATGTTTTAATTATCAGGAACCTCTATGTTTAATTAATTTTGGACGAGAAAAAAATCGCGATTGTTTAAAAAATTGAGATTCTCGGTAATTTGTGAAAGACTAAATATTTCTCCCGTGCTAAATTAGAAACGTAATGAAAAGGAATTTAAAATGTTCTCAAATAGTCAAGCTTAAATTAATCCAATACTATTTGTGTATTTTTAGTAGTAATTCTCTTGGTTCTTTAAAAATTGAAATTTTCGGTAATCTACCGAATAGCTAAGTTATTTTTCCCGCATTAAATTAGAAACGTAATGAAGAGAAATTTAAAATATTCTTAAATAATGTCCCGCTTTTTCTCAGTAAATTAATTTAAAATTAGTCTAATATTGTTAGTGTATTATAAAATTATTATTAGTGAACTATAAAATTAGTCTAGTATTGTTAGTGTATTATTAATAGTTATTCTTTACTTTCCATAATTCCTTTGTACAAAATCCCTAACGAATATGCGGGACACGATGCACAATTTCTTTTCATCGAAAACTAAATAAAAATATACAGAACGTTTGCACAACGAACAAATAAGCAAAATTGTTTGCTGATCGACGAACTGCGAACATTATTGCGATGGAACGTTCAAATACACGAGAATGAAGCGGTTTCGTTTGGAACGCGTACCAATGGCGGCCAAGAGCGCCATATTTTAAACATATAGAATACGAACGCAATGGAGATTATAGTATTGAGCAAAAACAACGACAATTTTAAGTTATTACTGTCATTAAAAAGTTGAGCATAGTAATTCGACAGCATGCAGAAAGAATGCTTCGTAATAATAATCGAGTGAAACAATAGTTCGTGTGAACGAGCATGAGTTGAAAGAAATAATAAGTGTACAGAATGTACGAGAATAATGATTGACTTACTAATTATTATTAATAAAGTGTTGATTCGTATTAAATACATCGATTCGCTGATTTTACTATTTTTATTAATATATTGTATATCAATTATAAAATATATATATATTGTGTGTAATATATCAATAAACGTAGTATTGTGTAAGAATTATTGTTAATAAAATAATACTTGATAAAAAAATAAAATTTACTAATCACTATTAACGTGCCACGTGTCAATCAAAATTTATAATGGAGTAGAATTGAATGGAACTGAAAACTGTTTAAACATAGTTTATTACTGAGTTATCCAATCAAATTAAATCAACTCTGCGCCGTTTCACGTACACAGTGGCGAATTATTACTGTTCTCAACGTAGGATCGAAACGTTTCTATAAAAGATGACGAGAGCCACGTATGATTTATGGAAGCGTTTCGATTCCTTACGGAGAGGCGTCGAAGAAAGTCCGGCGTAATCTTCTTTTCCCGCTCGAATGAATCTTTCAGAGAGACAATGTTCACTTTCTTTCGACGTTTCACCGACGAACGAAGAAGCGATGCTCTTCAATATAAATGTATCCTCACGCTCCCCATTTTCATCCTCCATTCTCTTAATGCTCACAACTTTCTTATTCCATCCATTCCAGTTTCTTCGTATCATTGTTTTCTCTTCGAATAAGGAGAATTTATTTTTCATTCTTAGTTATTGTTTGACTGTTGAATTTCGCACCAACGAAATAAAACAGAGCTTCATAATACACGAGCTTTTATATATTTGACAATTTGTACTTGTAAGTATAAAGTATTTATGCTTGTGAAAATTGTGTTAATTATGACGAACTGCTCATTTCGATTATTTTAGTAGTTCTAGTGTTAATTAAGTGTTCACTTAGGTGTGAGTTTACAGATTTTAGCTACCAAGTACATTTTCTCTCTTGTAAGTAGCAGAGTACGAAATTCTGGTTGATAAGAGAATTATTCAGAACTATATTCAGAGGAAAAGGATCGTTAACAATTGTAGTTATTTAAAATCGACGAGAGGCGAAATCTAATTCTTATAACAGTCGACCAGAAACTAGAAACCAAAGTGTTCAAAATTTATTACAATTACAATTACAATTACAATTACGATTTATTACAATTTATTATAGAATTTTTGTTGGAAATTTTATAGACACGAAACTGTATCTTTAGAGATTTGAACGATCTCTCGTAAAATAATAAGATGCAGAGAAATTATTGTGTTTAATTTCACAATCGAGAATTATTCACAATTAAATCCAGAAAAAAAAAGAATCGTTAACATCAACCCGTAGCTATTTAAAGAATAATAAAATTTTACGAAGTGAATATTAAAATAAAACTTACGAAGTGATACCTAATTCTTATAAATCTAGAAACTAGAAATCACAATAGTCGAAACGAGCAATTTGTCACATAGTTTTCTGGAAATTTTATAGACACGAGACTGTATCCTTAGAGATTTGAACGATCTCTCGTAAAATAATAAGATGCAAAGAAATTATTGTGTTTAATTTCACAATCGAGAATTATTCACAATTAAATCCAGAAAAAAAAAGAATCGTTAACACCAACCAGTAGCTATTTAAAGAATAATAAAAATTTTACGAAGTGAATATTAAAATAAAATTACCTAATTCTTATAAATCTAGAAACTAGAAATCACAATAGTCGAAATGAACAATTTATTACACAGTTTTTCAGAAATTTTACAGACACGAGACTCTATTCTCAGAACGAATTTTCATTCAAAATGATAATAATTTTTTATGATAATTGTACAATTGTTATCATCGTATTGTGCGTTGACAGACGATCGTTATTGCAATACTCGGCCATTCTCGCGAATGTTTAGCAACGAATGTTACTGTATACTATGGCAATTATATTAACGTGCATTGCCGATCGGTGGCGAGTCGCTATCGGCCTCGGTGTTTCGCCTAATTGGCATCGGAAGGGATCGGCAAGGCCGCGCGCGCGTCGCGCACCCGATGGAGATGTCGACCGATCGAAGGACAGTTATTTCAGCAACGGCTGATTGCGTGCGTACCTTCTACGAACTGGTTTTCTCTCGGTAGCTTTGATAATGCGACAGCCATACCTCGTTTTGCCGGGAATTATCGCGGCCTTTTCTCTAACCACCGGCGAGTTTTCTCGCCGCCCCTTCGACTCCGCCGTGTCCTTCAGATTATAATAAAATACCAGCCGACCTGAATTACGTACCTTACGGCGCAAGAAGTCCGTTTTCTCGTCGAAAAATCGACGTGAGTCCGCGTGAAGCTAATCGAGTTGCAGTATCGTTAGTTATTCGAGTAATATTCGATATAAAATATTATTATATAGTATTATAAATATTATTATATAGTAATTTATCGAGTAATATTCGATATAAAATATTATTATATAGTATTATAAATATTATTATATAGTATTAAAAATATTATTATTATATAGTATTATAAATATTATTATATAGTATTATAATACTATTATTATTAATATTTTATTAATACTATTATTATTAATATTATATTAATACTATTATTATTAATATTATATTAATACTATTATTATTAATATTATATTAATATTATTATTATTTTATATATATAATATTATTGTTGGTATGAATTCGGTGATTTCAGTTTCGAAAGAAAATTCTGCGGGACTTGAATTTGCAATTTTGCGTTCTTTGAATTCACAAGATTAATAAATACGAACTGTTGGGTCGAGGTTCCTTTTTAAAAAGCTGAAGCTTCTCCTTTAAAATTTACTGCACGATCTTTTTTCTCCAATTTATTGCATTTTGAATCTATCAGGCGAAAACGAAAATTTCTCGAATTTCGAAACTAATGTTCAAAGATAAAATATCGAAAAAAATCGTGTAGCAAGTTTTCAACCTTCAAATCTATTGTAGAGTCAGTTATGAAGAATTTTCCAATGCTTCCAGACGCTATAAAAATTTACAGTATTTTCGAGGAGAAAAGTGTAAAGTCTTCACTTTGTCATCTGTCACACAGTGTAAGGAAACACTTCGGAATAAAATGAACGATGCACGAAATTTATCACAATAGAATTTCTTCTCACAAAATTAGAACAGTTTCAATATTTGGTGTACGCTTAGGTGGACAATTTTCAAGAGATCGAGAATTAGAATTTTTTTTATTTGAAAAATAATTTGTAGAATATTCATCTCTGTTGAGAACAATATATTACACTGTTTTTTTTTTTTTTTTCGAAACGAAAATACCCATTTTCGTACTTTAATCTTCGTCTGATGCTGCTAAAGGATCGTTCGAAAAGAGAGGAGCGTATCAATGGTGCCGTAATTCATCGCCGTGTTCACGTTTCCGGTCGATTTTTCATCAGGTCATGACGGGCGACGACAGCATGAGCGACGACGTGTTCGAGGTGGAAGACGACGCCTGCACGGTGGCCTCGAGCGGTCTAACGCCGAGGTCTACTGGCCAACCTTTGACCACCACCCCCTCACCGACCGGATATCGAGACTACAAGCCACCAGCGGAAGTGTTGGACGATAACTATGGCTACTCGTCCAGGGGCTACGACAGTGTGAGGAGTAGTTTCAAGAGGACCAAAGAGGAAGACACTGCCTTTGCGCACAAGGTGAGTAGCCTCTCGAATCGCTTGATCTAATCGAATCTAGGAAAATTCGATCGTTGAATTCATCAGTCCTTGGAACGGAATTCTTGCAATTAATTAATCTGGATTTGAAGTTAATAGTCGTTTCAAACCAGATTTGAGAGAACTGTAGATTTGAGACAGTTCTTTATGCACGATCAAGTCCGGATCTTTTAAAAGGTCTTAGAATATTCTCGTGCGAAGTAGATTTTTATCAAAGATGGATTGCAACGTGTTCGTGAAAATTTTCCATTCTCTCGAGTACGTGTAGAGTCAAACGAACAAATGGTTCGTAAATTCTTCGCACAAGTGTGCTTTATACTTTCTGCCCGTGTACGAGGTGGATGAAGTGTACGGTGAATCTTCGCTAGACATACAAATTGCACCGTGAGGTATTTGAAACACGCGGTTTGATTGAAAGCTCTTCTATTGATTGAAACAGCGTAGGCAGCCTGTTCTACAAATCCTTCGGTCTTGTTCTTCCTCTCCCACGTTCAATATTCAACACGCTCTTTCCAACTTTCAGTTTCCAACCGTTTCTTACCCGAAACCTTCGTCCGCTGGCTCACGCCCACGCTCCGTTCCTTTAAAAAATTCATCTCCACCGAGTCGCGCTCGCTATTTTTACGTACAAACGTAACATAACGCAACGCACGCGGCACGTAGTAAATGCACGTTGCGTTTGACGCGGATGTTGCAAGTATTCCCGGCATGTAGCCTCTAGAGGAGAGCCTAAAGAAACAAGAAGAGAAAAAGAAGAAGTATCCACCGCACAAGAACCGAGTCGTTTGATATTCATTACCGACTCATTTGCATGATGGATGGGACACACGGGTATTTCTCGGATGTAGCAGCAACAAGGTCAGTCATGCCTTCGTACCAAGGTCAAGCCGGCCCTCCTCCCCGGCTGTGGCAAGCCTGTGGAATAATGATCCGGGAATGCCCGAGGATCGCGGGTACGGCCCCCGACAGGATCCCCTGCGTCCTTCCTTCGACTTCTTTCTTTTCTTCTCGGCCCTCCTTCCCTCTCTTCCTACCCAACAGACTCTCGCCTATCTCACTCTTTCATCCTCGATTCGTCTCGTTCTTCTCCGTTCAACCGCCACCCCTCCGTTCACCGCCTCTTTCTTTCGAGACGTTTTCTTCAAACGTTCTCTCCCGCTTGTTTTCGTCAGCGGAGAATTTTTATTGAGTGTGTGTGTGTGTGTGCGTGCGTGCGTAGTTTAGCTTTAGGTTTTTTGGGAATATTATTACTTTTGGTGTTATTATTTTTATAACATTTGATAATAAAATAAAGATAATAACACCGAAAATAATAATATTCCAAATTATTCAATAATAATAAAGTAAATAACGATTTAACAATTTTTTTTAATAATATTCAATAATACTTTAATAATATTTAGTAACAAAATAAAAATAGTAACACCAAAAGTAACAATATTCCAAATTATTCAATAATAAAGTAAATAATAATTTAACAATTTTTTTATTAATATTCAATAATATTTTAATAATATTTAGTAACAAAATAAAAATAGTAACACCAAAAGTAATAATATTCCAAATTATTTAATAATAAAGTAAATAATAATTTAACAATTTTTTTAAATAATATTCAATAATACTTTAATAATATTTAGTAACAAAATAAAAATAATAAATGTTACTAATATCATTGAATATTATTAAAAAAATTGTTAAATTGTTATTTACTTTATCATTAAATAATTTAGAATATTATTACTTTTGGTGTTATTATTTTTATTTTGTTACTAAATATTATTAAAATATTATTGAATATTAGTAAAAAAATTGTTAAACTGTTATCTACTTTATCATTAAATAATTTGGAATATTATTATTTTTGGTGTTATTATTTTCATTTTATTATTATTTGTTATATATATATAATATATATATATATATTTATGATTTGAAAGTTAAAAGTTAACGAGGGTTCGTTGATTCTTTATATCACATTTCAGTAGTCAAAATTTTCGCCTTTTCGTCCCCCGAGTAATTTCCCCAAGTTTCGAATTTCCATCTTCGCAGTCAAATTTGAATTAAAAAGAGGCCGAAATTAATTTGAGCGGGTAAATTAAATTTCCAATATTGCAACTACGTCTGCAAACTCTTCGCCCCCCCCTCCTGAAACGATCTGTCAACTTCCTCCGCAACGATCCTCCCCACCCCCATCTCCAACGAAAAAAATGATCGTCGATTCCGAAGACACAGTCTCATTCGTCCAAAACACGTGCCACGTGTATAAATATCGTTTTCCTGATCGCTCGTAAACCTTTCGTGATCCTTCCCCCGGAACGAAACGAATCGAAAAAAAGGAAAAGCGCGCAAGGAATTTTACGATCGGCCGGAAACGGTATTCCGATCTGACCGTCGATTACAATATCCCGGTCGTCTTACCATCGGACGTGGTGGCGCGATGGTTATTGGCTCGGGGAGATCTCGTTTTCTCGAGATATCGTTCCGCGATGGAAGATCGTTAGTCAGGGCTGACCGCGTGCGCGTGCACCCGCCGATTCCTGCACGCTTTCGCGTCGAACTGGTTTCACGTTTCGAGCAGAAACGAGCCGTTTATCGGGCTGCGATCAACCGTAGCTCTCTCCCTCTCTCTCTCTCTCTCTCTCGTAGCTATTGATAGCGGACACAGGCAATCGACCTATAGGTAGGTTCTTACTCGCGTCGATTGAATTTTAGAATCTACTTCTGACGTCTGGCTTGACGGACGTGTAGTGGCGCGAATCGGGGAATCGGATTTCGGTTTCGAGGACTCGTGGCCTATGTTCCGTGATTATGGATTGTTCAGCGTGTTGCTTGTGTATTTACGTGTGCGGTTATTGGAGGGAATTTTCGGGAAATTTATATATAGAACGCGTAAAATGTAGTAATGTTGGTATTAATGGTAAAATTATAGATGTATTAATCGTTAATTATTGGAATCTTCAATTTTTGGCTTGTTTCTTCGATTTATGAAAAATATACAATTTACAAAGTAACGTACAGAAATATTAGTTATAATTGTAATATTGGAATCATTATTCAAGTTTTATCTTTTCGGTTCAATTTCTGAAAATAAATGCTAAATATGCGCACTAAGTGTCGTACTTTCCTTAACTCTTTTTATTTCGTATTTGTCATCACGTATGGAAAGTGTCGTGTCAAAAGAAAGATATTTCTAAAGTTTTTTTTGAAATATCTACAAATCCTCAAAATCTAGATCCCATATCTCCTATCGTGCTATATAAACATATAAACAATTATATTGAAAAGAGAAAAAGAAAAGAAAAATATCACGCAATTTTACAAAAATCCAGAAATATCTAGGTTTCTCTAGTATTTATTCTGAAATATATCCAACATTCTAAAAGATCTAACATTGCAAAGGTAATTAGCATAAGTATCTAAAATATAAATATAAATATAAACATAAATATAAAATGAACATAAACAAATATCTCTGATACGTCTATAATACTCTAAAATATAGATATAAATATAAATATAAATATAAATATAAATATAAACATAAATATAAAATGAACATAAACAAATATCTCTGATACGTCTATAATACTCTAAAATATAGATATAAATATAAATATAAATATAAATATAAATATAAATATAAATATAAATATAAATATAAATATAAATATAAATATAAACATAAACATAAACATAAATATAAAAAATATCTCTGATACGTCTATAATACTCTATAATACTCTGAAATTAATATCCAATAAATCTGAAACGTTGATCGACAGAACTCTCCGCGGGAAGAATTTTTCAAAAATTCCAATTACGATAGCGTGACAGGGGAGAGCGTCGTTGGAGGTGCGGGATTCGTTTTCACGATGTCACGGCAATTAACGAGGGAATCCTCGCAGTCTGATTCGAGGGAAGGAGCCCGGGGACTGTTCCAGTGATCGGCAACGGCGAAGTAAAACCGGTAGGGGGTCCACGGTCTCGAGCCGGTTCTTGCCTCGCGGTTTCCTTCCAACCGGGTATTCGCTCCTATAAGGGATAATTGAAGAGCTCGGTGCACTGCGACCGGCTACGCTCTTGCAAATCTTTCGGCAAAGATGGGAGGTGCGTGCCGATCTCTGCGAACCGACACGAGCGCCGCTTATCCTTGGATACCCATTCGTTCTTTACGACGATTCTTTTTGTCGACGACTTGCACGCGGAATATTGACAGTTTCATTCGTGTATCGTCCGAATTTATCCGGAGATCTGAGAGTCCAGGATCCAAATCTATCAAACCTGTGAATCTCTCGAACATCGGCGAAGATATTTTGATATTACAACAGCACTGTTTTTGTCCTCCAGTTTCAATTTTCATTTCTTGCACATTTCTATACAAATGATTGAATCACACTGCGTGTATCAAGAATTACAGGCTCGATTGATTCTCCGATTTAAATTAATCTAGACCGCTGGTAATATCTCAAGCTTAACATTTACATAAATATGGACACAATTGACGAGAAAATCGTACAAAAAGTCTCTAAAAGAATTTTCTATACAAGGAACTTTTGCGGACTTGATCTTTTTAATTAATCTAGAAATTATTCCACGGTTCCAACGAGTACGTGTGTAATAAAAAATAGTATCAGCCACCGTGGAAGATCCTCGTTAAACCAAATCATCGCCTGAGACGGCTACCCTGTACCATTAACCTAATTCACACTGACGGTCGGCAGGCCACCGAGAGGATCGTTAAATGAAAGAACAAACAGTGGATCAACGAGAATTATCTCCGATCGGGCGTTGGGGTATATGTTATTCCAAGCTGTTATTCGACGGTGCTCCGAGTTCCCGATCGATAGGCCGATTCGAAACAAAGACACTCGAGATCGGTGGTAGCTAGACTGCGTGGGCGGATTAAGAGCACAATTGGCCATAGTGAATAGCGTGTTCAAGCCACAGTGGTGTTTACCACTGGAGCATGATCGAGCTAT